TACATACACACATCCACACATACTTGTGCAGATCAAGTTGAATTTAATGGCAACGATAAGAAAAATAAGTAAGGCCAGGCAGACAATCAGCTAGCACGACGGCCCATTGCGCTATCAAATTAGAATACAAATGGGTAAAGGAATCGGAGGCATATTCTATCAGCTTTCTTCAGTGACAACTTTATTTAGTTTTAAACAATAAATTAGGATTAGATATAACTGCGGTTGAGCAACTAACTAATGTACCTCAAATGGAGTAGGGCACACACCACGAAAAACAAAGTGCGAATCATAGTGTAAATTGCAAATTCGTGATGTTGCACATAAGCAAAAAGGAAATTTGTTGACGAATCGGCACACAGAAAAAAAAGAAGAAATATAAACAAATGCAAAGAGTGCTGTAGTGGAAAGTTCACGACTTGTAAATGCCCTTAGAGTTGCCCGAGAGTTGGTTAAATATAATAAAAATAAACTTAGGATAACAGGAGAAAAGCCAATTATTAAACCCCCTAGATTAATACTATTCAAAAATACAATTTAATACGGTTATTGTGTTGAATATTGTGATCCGTATTCCAAGTACGGCGAAATCATATTTTTTATTCATTTTCGTTTAGATTAATTCTGTATTTAAATGTAAGATAATTTTAATACAGATATACTTAATACACATATATTTAAATTATTGAAAATCATAATGAAATCTTGTAAAATACGAAAATAAAGATAGTGATTTAACCAAAATGATTTATATTTCATATATGTATGTAATATAACCACAGTGAGCTTGCCATGCACGCCTTATAAAATCATCTAGACAGCATAGATTTCTACCAAACCATCATACCCCAATGCATACACAGAGTCTACTTAGGGTACCAAATCAGATCAATATGGAATCAGTCAGCTAAGTACTCGAATTATTGCTAATGTCTTGTATTTAGTTATATAGCCCGACTGTCGACTGTAAAGCATTAGAAATATTTTGTTTTTCTCTGCGCTTACGTCAATGTCTAGCAGAGAGCAAAGAAAGCTCCGCCAAGAGGGGCGGGACTCGGTACATTTATAGCGACAAGAGAACGCTGACCAGAACCTACATCAAAACGATTCCCTCACTCACTGCACCTCACGCATCGTACGTAATCGCGGGCAGCATCAGCGATGATCTATGATCTATGGCGAATCGTTTCCAACTCAACTGAACTGTAAACAGGAGGGGGCAGCATTCGCTTTCGGTTTCTTCCGGCGTCGAAAGAGGTAAGCGTCTGCCTCTTCTCACTCTCTCTGCCGAGTGACATAAACAAAAAGCTGCTTCGTCAGCTGCAATTAGAATCGGCCATTGGGGTTTGTTTTTGTTTATTCAAAATATTCATGTTATAAACAAAAGAAGGAAATATAAACAAATCATGAATGTAAATGAGCTGTCGAATGATTTCAAAGGGGTTTTCTCCCCATAAACAATATTGAATTGCCATAGAATAATATGATTGAAGGGGGTAGGGTGTAGCGATTTTAATCGGGAGTGTTCAGCGGAAACATACCTTGACCTTCCCTTAAGATCTAGTTAATTTTATTCAATTTTAAAATGAAAGTGGGAAATGGGGAAGGCATGTCTCCCATAATTGTATATGACTTGTAAAAGATTGGAAAGAGTTATATTTTATATAAATTTTATACGAACGTCGTAGGCTTTACGGAATCTGTTGTTCATTCCGTTGTTATACAAATCTTATTCTCTGTTGTATCAATGTTAATGCCAGAATTACATTATTTTGATTTTATAATATATATTACTTTTAGCTTTTAAGTGTATAAAATACGTAAGAAGAATGCAAATAGCATCTGTTTATTCTATCGTTATAATACCCATAACTTATGAAGTCATACTCTCTGTTACATGAATTTTACATTTTTACAGCCCTTTCACTCAGGTAACATCTCGCATTTGCTGTAATGTACACCTAGTTCAAACAAATCTAATTATTGACAGCCCACAGCTGCTTTCATTTATTATTCAATATACATTTAAAAATATATATAATATCCCTTGGCTTTAAACGATGCATTTCAGAATGATTATTCATGCATGAAATACGTCCACATTTAGCACGAATCTAGATATGAGATATGTATATATTATATATGTATATACATATAACGATAAATCAGCGCGCAAGTATGCAGATAATTTTAATGAGCATATTTAATATTTAATTATTATAATTTAGCTGCAAATACCACAAGAATTTTCCAAGTGAAATCGTGCAAATATATAAATATATTTTTAATGTATTTATATATACACTTGTTCTAGCTTGTCAAATCAATTAAATTTGATATAATCTCACATGTGCGGAAAACCCGAAAGCGATCGCGACTCATTATTTTCTTCAATTAGATTTTGGCGCACATCTAAAACATATGCCATAAATATGAATATATATACATATATAAAAATATTTATGTATATACGTATATATTTATTATACAAGCTGTATATCTAAGAATTTGCACAGTTTTTGGCAGAACCAAGTCGTTTTGAAAGTTCAAGGATGCATAAGTATTCCATAATGTATAATCATTTCATCATGAAAATTTCATGGCTTATATATATGTATATCTGTTATTATATACACTATTCTTCTTCTACTATATATATTATATATTATTTAATATCTAGAGAAATTTCTAAAATCCAAAGCCCAATGATGTCATGTGAATTTACTATCTGGAATTTCCCACCCCTTGATTTATTGATTTGCAACAGCACTTGGTTTATGAATTATATATTCATATAGGGCTATATGTGTAACTTATTCAGACAGCAAGTTAAAGGTACTAAATTGTCCTTAATGCTCCGTTCAGCCTAAGCAACGCATAGTCACGCACTCCAATTCCAGTTTGTCGTAGTTCTGGGCCCTAAGTAACGGAAAGGAACGGAACTTGAAGCCCGCTCTAATTGGTTATCTAATCGGGTTGTCATATTAATGGGCACCCAGGCAGGGCGAATCAGCTACGCCATAAATAATGGGAAATTTATGGGAATTTCGACTGTCAGCACTTCTTATGGATTCGCCAAAGTTGCCTGCTAATTAATAATAATTATCAAATTGGACAATATTGACACAGGTAAGTCAGACAATATGGCCGAGTGTGCACTTGAGTTTACCATCTGATAATTATTTATATAGATGGAGCGTGTGTCCAACCAGCTCCCCTGTGCCCCACTGATATGCCCCGAACGGCACCTGTAAATGAACCAAGCAAGAAAATAATATTCAATTTTGTTTTTCCTTTGGTTTTTTAGGCCAAATTTCAGCAGAAGCTCATTAAGAATCGCCCAAATTAACGAATTGCGTTGTAAACTATGCTGCAATACGCCATAAAGTGCTGCGCATTAAGTATTAAGTGACGCACTGGGTAATCCAGAATAGCTGCACGGGTACGACTAGTAGATATCCTGTAGGCAGTTGAGCAGAGCATAGATCTACCTATTCAGAACTATATCTTATATTATGTCTATTGAACTTTTTTGTTAGCTAGCTAGGCAAACCCGGCTAAGAGATACTCTGTACCCTGATGGATCACAAATTCACTTCTTTATGCTTGCATCGATTAACATTTAAAGTTTAACATATCTCGACTTGTAGGTATCTTGCAATAAAAATTACTCATATATGTAGATACAATATCTAGGAAAAATTCTTAAATTTTCTTGAAATACTTGAAACATGAATATTAAATAAATAAATCAGTGAAAAATAAATGCATTGAACTGGCATTCAAATTTATCGATGTTTATTTGATAACCAGCATAGCCAGAGAAACTTAATTAAATAAGTCTTAATTGAATTCGCTTGAATTCTAATCGAACGTGACGTGATTCTCGCATTGCCACATTGTTGCCTTTTCAAATGTTAATGAAGTTAAAATGAGTATAATTATTATGTTTCTCACCTACGTAAATAGGTCCATTATTTAGAAAACCTGCACAGCGGGGTGGGTGGTGGCATGGAAGGTAAATAATTCATTTCATATCAAGTGAATGCAAGGAATGCGGACAAAATAGTTTTCAAAACAGATTTTTAGCATGCTCAGAGCATGAAATGAATTTTGTAGCACGAAATTGTTTCAATTCACACGGCATTAGTCATTGAAATCGTGGATAAGCTTTACTCTAACGATATGCGGACTGTATATATAGACTATATATATTATGTATATCTTTTTGGTAAGCACCAGATAATAATCGTTTATATATACAGTATATAAATTGATTGACACACGTCTATGACGTTGGTAATATTTACAGGGTATAGAACCTCAAAGGCAGCACAAACAACAATCAGCTGACCCAAAAACAAATGCATATTTGAGGGCGATTGAATTGCGTCTTCTCTTGAATATTCTCTATTTTGCTGAAAGAAAATTGAAATCTATTACGTTTTCCATTCAGAAGGAATCAAATTTCCAATTCGTCGACTTAGCTGATGCAGTAAATTTAAAACCAAAATTCAATTGGAACCAAAATAAATATACACTTATAACTCTAAGAGAATAGAAAGAGAGACCTTGAATATTAACCATATCATTACGCATATATTTATTGGAAAAATGGAAACCTCTTTAGCAAACCATATCCGGTATCGTCTGGTAAAAAGTTATGGAAATGTATATGCTTATTTCGAGATGTAATACCCGGAATGAATAAAAATAGAACTGCTTATACCATAGGTATTGCCATCAAATGGAATGGAAGGCACGTGTCGCTGTCGTTAAAGGGAATCGATCAACGATGAGACCTTGACAACCTCAATTGCTTTTGCCCGTTAATTTATGCTGTTGAGCCAGCTAACTGTAACAAGCGAAAGAAAAGCGGCTTAAGGTGTTATGTGGGTTGTGTATATTTGTGCAAACACACGTGAGTTAAACAACAGTTACAGCTATAATATAGTTATTTAAATTTTATTTGCATTTAAAACAATTCTATGCTTTAGTTCTTTTGCTTTGTTTTTAGTAATAATCAATGCCCAACAATGCAAACCAAGCCGAAAAATTTAGTCTAAATAAAATCCAGTCTGAAAATCAAATCTGGTTACATCTGTAGCCGCAATGAACAGTTTCGGATGTACGAAATATTCTATAGCCATACAGAATATATATATTTACTATATATAATGTTGAATACATTGCGGCTGTGTGTGTGTGTGTTTTTTTTTTTGTTTGCTAAAACCTAAGAGCTTATGCCTAAGAACGGCTTCTCTATGAATTATTATTATACAATTTAAATGCCGTATCCAAAATTCGAGTACTACGAACGAACTACATTGACAGACAACTAGCATTGCAAGGTGTGTGTGTATGGGTGTGAGAGAGTGTGTATGTGTACAAACTATATTTACGTATAGATATCCTATGGGGGTAGTATAAAAATATATAATATATATATGTCTATATATATGCATGTGTATTTAGTTATTCTCTCTTTATATCTAGATGCCTGTTTAGGATTTACATGCCGAGCAGGCACTCGGAGTTGCCGGCAATGTCGGCGAACTGCGCTGGCTACGCCTGCGTCACGAAGTACATCTCCCCGGATGAGCCGACGACAACGGCATGCGTATCACCAGTGGCTGTTGTGCCACTGAGGGCGTTTGGTGCGGCGGCTATCATGCTGGACATGTCGGTGCCATTGCTGACAATGCTAACGGCGCCGCTGAAGGCCGCATTGGAGCTGGTGGTGATAATTGTTTGCGCCTCGCTGGCATTGCTGCCATGATCTGTATTTTCCACGTGATGCTGCAGGCTGTCGATGTGGTCATACAGTGTGGAGCATTCGCCGCACTTGTAGAGCGGCTCAACGCATTCCGGATGCTTGCGCTCCACGTGCCATCGCAGATTGGCCGCATTGGAGAAATTCTTGCGGCAATTAGCCACGCCGCAGCAATAGGCGCGCTGCTGATGCGTCTGCCGATGCCTGTAGAGGATCGCCTTCGATTTGAATGTACGGTTGCAGATGTTGCACAGCGGCGTATTCGTCTCCGCGTCGTGCGTCTTCATGTGCATGCGCAGCATGCCCGGCCCCTTGAAACTCTTCAAGCAGATCTCGCACTGGGGCTGCTTCTTGCAATTGGCCCGTATCCAATTGGTGTGTGAGTGCATGTGACTCTGGAGGCCCTTGAATTGCCGGAACTCTGTGTTGCACAGGTGACAGATGTAACGACCCGAGCCCAAAGGTGATGTATGCTGTCTGATGAACTCCGTGACCAGATTCGCATCTATCTCGTAATTGTCATCAGCCCCGGCTGCTGCTATCACTGACGCCGTCTGCACCAGCTGCCGCGAATTGGCCGCCGCCAGCTTGCTGCTTATGGTGGGCGGACTATGCTGGTGGTTGCACGGCGTCTCTACCAGTTGCGTTTGCGGTTGGGCCTGTGTGTTTCCACGACGCGCACGTTTCGCTGAGCTGGGCGTGGGACTGGGTGTGCTGCTGACATGTAATGTGGGTGCGACCAATGCATCCTGTCCAAACTCTACGACAGCATTCTCCAAGGATATGTTTTGCAGGTCCACAGACTGCTGCTGCTGTTGCTGGTGCTGCTGCTGCTGTTGTTGCTGTTCCTGCAACTGTTGTTGCTGTTGTTGTTGTTGCTGCTGCTGCTGCTGCTGCTGCTCGACATCTATGAAGGCCTGATCCATGTCGCTGGCGCTGACATCGCCATCGGGCGGTTCCATTATGGCATAGTGCAGCTCATCATCGACATCGCCGCCGAGGCCGTGGTCTTGGTCATCCGTTATATACTCGCATTCGTCCACATTCGTCATGCCATCGCCATCGACTTCTCCGTCCGCATCCTCAAGCATATCGTCCTCATCTAATTGAATCTCCTCTATGATGAAATTATCATCATCGTCTTCCTCGTGCTTGACCCCATCCTCGTGGTCCAGCAGCTGCTCGTCAAAGTATTCATCTGTCTCCTGCTCCTGTGTTTCGCTTTGCGTGTATTCCTCGTCGATGAGCACTTGACGATGCGGGTCCTTTAGAAAGTCTTGCTGCTGATCATCGTCCAGGACTATCGTCTCAAAGGTATGACCCTTGCCGTCCAAGTGTTCGTAAACCTCGTCCAGATCCTCATCGTCCATTTCGCCATCGTGCAGCAGCTGCACATCCGCTTCAGCTAAAGAGGCCCCACTGCTCGTAGTGCACATGTCCGTTGTCGTGGTCGTCGTTATCGCCGGCGCCATGCTTCGCTGCGGCACCAACTGCACCAGCTGTAGCGTCTGTGTGCCGTTCGGCTGCTGAACAATTTGTAACGTTTGGCCATTGGGCGCCTGCAGCAACTGGGGCAGGAATTGCGCCTGTGCCGATGCTGCGGCATTCGATGCCGTCGTTTGTGGGCTGATAATCTGCGCCAGCTGCGGCGTCACAATTTGCGTCGTTATAAACTGTCCATTCGGCAAGAGGATTTGCTGTGCCGTCGTTGTTGGCAGCAGTTGCGCAGGCGCCGGCTGCAGCGTTGGCAGCTGAATTTGTTGTATCTGCTGTTGTGGCTGCTGCTGTTGCTGAAGCAGTGGTGGGGGTGGCGGAGGCGCTGGCTCCGGCAGAAGGTGAACCATTTCCTGGTGTTTCTTTGACTGGCGTGAACTGCCTTTTCGCAGTGGTTTCAGTTTGTTCTTGGGCTGTGCGAGAGTGGAAACAAGAGAATTGATAAAGAAAATCTGGTGCACGATTTCTTTGAATTTTATACCTTCGGCTGTTGTTGTTGCTGCTGCTGCTGTTGTAATTGATGTGGCTGTTGTAGAAGATATATAGATGACTGTTGCTGCTGTTGCTGTTGTTGTTGCTGCTGCTGCTGTTGTTGCTGTTGCAATTGCTGCTGTTGCTGTAGTATTTGCTGTTCAAGTTTTTGGTGCTGCTCCTCTAACTGCTGCTGATGCTTGAACTGTTTTTGCAGCAGCTTCTGTTGCTTGCGCTCTTGCGGTGTAAGCGATTCATCCATTCCAAGGCGTACCGTCAAGCTCTTTATATATTCGCGGAGTTCTTTGTCGCTACGCTCGACAAGCGACTTAAATGCATGATTCCGACTAACTGCATGGACGCATTGCACACAGATTTTGTCGGGCCAGCCCTCGGTGGGCTCGACACGCACACTAGTGCAGTCCATCAGCATTTCGGGTACTTTTTCACTGAACAGCGGACGCATTTCCTTGCGCTCCGAAATGCATAAGCGGCAGATTTTGTCCAATTCCAGTACCTTCTTACGGTCCATCATTGCGACGGCTTCGATAAATCCTTCAATTACAGCTTCTTTCTATAATCATTATGGAATTTAACACTTGTTGCCTGATTTCACTGTAAACCTTTTCCAGAGGCGAAAATATATGAGAATTTTTGTTGATAAGCGCAATTTTAAATTTTAGCGCTTTTAGATATTCTGGCAGCACTGACGTTTGGCCAACGCTCTGGCAACTCGCCGCTAGCGGTGCAAGCGAGACAACTATATAGTCGACACGACACGACGACGACGACAACTAGTTATACACAATTTACCAACCTGGTATTAGTGCGAGCGAAAAATCATATTTTTACTACTTTCGCAGTAAATGAAACAAATATGTTTTGCATGTATTTCTATTAAATTTTTAACAATTATCCGATTAAATTCTCATACTTTTCGCTCTATTGGTCAAGGTTTTTAGCAACATAAGCCAAAAACTGACTTACCCAAGCACTATTTATATAATTTATGTAGCCTCGCTTTGCCTTTGCACTGCATTCGACATTAAATTATTTTTTAAATATGGCCGCGTCACGCGATTTCAAAGCGAAAAACTAATTTTATTTCACATTTTAAGCACTCAAACGTGAGTTTGTTTTGAAATGATGCGAAACAAAAACAAATGGTGCACCAGTTGGTTATTCTGGCAAGGAAATGAAATAACTAGACTTCGACCAGTGCCAAATTAATAAAAATTCGATGAATGAAATTTCTGTGCAACCGCAGTGGTGCTGCTTTTGTCTTCTTCTGTCGACTGCAGAATCCGCGAGCTAGCTGAAACGACGTGAAACGACGATTACCCACACACTCGCGCTGCACGTATATAGAGCTCTCTTTTTTGCTTCGCCCCGTCCTCTGCTTGTGTGAGTGAGATATGCGTATGTGACGCGGCTATAGTTCATGGGGCTGCCAACTCATCCAACACAAAAACGCACCAAATTTTTAGTAGAAAACAAACAACAAACACGTACACATGTGCATTCTTTGTGTAGGTGAAACAATTAACAATTAAGCTTACTAACAAAATGCATTAATATTAAGATTATGTTAGTAGGTGTCTATAAACGAGTTACATACCTTTTGCTGATTAACAGGACGCCAGCTCGCGGATTTTACATTTCACAAACTATATAACACACTTTCACAATTTCACTGTGCCTTGCTTGATTGCACTTTTTGCGACTTTTTGTCGTCCGCCAATGCACTTTTTAATAGATAGGCACATTTATTAATTAGCAACTGCCCCACAAAACACTCACTCGCATCACACACGCCCACGTAACAGCTGCGCCGGGTACGAAAACTTTAAGGACTGTCATGCCATGACGAAAGCTCTTATAAGGTGCCGTCGAAACGGGCACAAATTCAGCTGCCATAGAAAATGTGACGTCACACAGGGCTTTAACATTGTTGTTTATCAGGGATATCGATTTATTATTATTATAAAAGCAAATATCAAGCTAATCAAACAGCTGCTTGTAAAATAAAAAATGAACTGGGTTTCAATTCATAAAAAAACTCTAATTGAATTCTGAACAAAATGCATAGATTTTCCTATATGAAACGTATTAAAAATGTTGCTTAACTTCTAAATGGCATTGGCCGGCGTGCTGCTGGTGTTAGCCAGCTGGTACTTTTGCCTCTCCTTAGTCCTTTTATTGTAGACGCGAACAATTCCGTAAACCAGGATGAGAACAATTATGCCAAAGAGCAGGCAGCTGATCACAAACCAGGGATAGAAGGAATCATCAGCCTGCTGATGTTCTGCCTCCCACTCCGTTAATACCGCTGAGCCATTTACGCTCATCCTGGCTGGTGCTGAGTCCATGTCCCGGAACAGCGACGCTTTGACCAGATTATTGGATTCGGGTGATTCGAATGCCGGCTCAGTGTCGTCGATGCGTACGAACGTCAGTTGGACACCAGATATGTGCTGTCTATAATGTTGCAGGCCAAACCCATAATAATTGTACAGGTCTGCGCTAATCTCTCTATGCAGGTCCATCCACTGGCCAATCACTTGAACCTTCACCTCGCTGCGGGCATCCATGGTTCGTCCAAAATACGCTTGCTCTTGCACATCTATGCCGCCTACACCGTCTATATCCAGCTCCACCATTGCGCCACGATGCTCGAGCAGCAGCGGCAATTTCTCCAGCTGCTCGTCGTTGTAGAAGCTGCTCGTGTTCAAGCGAATCTTCTCGACATATGCATAACTAAGGCTGCCATAAATGGGTTTACGCTGGTTGCTGGGATTCTTGAGCACGCCGTCTCCGAGACGCATTTTGTAGCTGTTGGTGATATTGCGCCATGGCTGGTAGGTGATGTTGCGCAGCTGGTACATCACCGGCTGCAACTCCACAAGCACATTGATGCTGTCGTCTATGCCATACTATAAGAAGGTGCACTGGCAGTTAGAGATGATACAATAGCATATCCCGAATGTACTCACAAAGTTATCTTCAAAGATCATGACCACGCATGTGAACAGACTGTCCATCACATTGTTGACCAGATCGGCGTGCCGGAAGTGGCAGAGCTCCGTCTTTTCGCGCTCCACACTGGTCGCCTTGGCTATGTAGCTGAGTCGCTCGCTGGGATTCAGTTCGGCCGCATAGTTTTGCATCATGATCTTGTACGGCACCCAGGCCAGCACCGAGTCCTCGCCACGTTTGCATATGTCGTTTTGTACTCCACGCCCAAAGAGCTCCCCGTTGAGCAATTTGAAGAAGTGATGATTGCTCCGTTTGATAGTCAAGGAGCCGTGATCCGCGCACATGGTATCATACAGTCTTTCCTGTGGATTAGTCAATCACAGATTTAATTTAATTTAGTACACGCATAAATAATTCCGTTATCTAGGCTGTTCGCATTATCTATTCACAGACACTATTCCCGTTTGCCCGCTTTCTTTATCGCCCAGTTGATTGAATTGGGAATATCTCTCTACACAGTATATAGAGTGCCAGTGCTTATTGAGTTAAGCTGATTTATTTGCTATATAATACTTGTTACATACATATGAACTCAATTTCCCAATATATACGTATAGATATCTGTCCATGACTCAAGTGCCTTGAAATTATCATTTAAGGACCTATCTGTGCTCAACTTGTTCGCATTGACTGCCCGAACCGAACTCTCAACCTTCACCTCGGCTGATTGATCGATTGCTATATAAGGTGGCGGATTTGAGAGACTATTTTGATCACTCAATATGAGTTTTCATGAGTGAGAAATTAGTCGTATATACGTACATATATCTGTTTAATTGCTTTATAATGAGACCGTGTGGGCAATCCATTAAAAAATTTGCAGTTCATTAAAATTTGAATTACCGATTTGCACTATTTGAACTCACCTTTTCATTTGGCGTCAATATTGTTGCAGTTATATTGCATTTTGATTGATTTTGTAGAGGAGCAAGCATTTGCCGCTTGATGTCCGCCAAGAGCATCGGCTCCGTCTCTATGCAGAAATCTGGACGCTCCTCGTACGCCTGGCAGCACGTGGATAGAAGCACCAGCAGCAGAACAACACCCAAGACATAGCTAGATTTGTACATGGCTCGGCTACGAGTGGCGATCTTAAGTATTCCGCTATCGAGGTGCGCGCGCTATCGTTGGCAAATTGAAACTGAGGCTCGCAATTCTAAATAGTCAGCTATTTCGACTCAATCCAAAGTATTCAACTTGACCGCAAATTCCCGATAAATACCGAATGTAGCCATATAACCATATTTATCTATGCGCTGAAGGATAAGCTGGCAGATTCAGAGACGAGTGCGTTCGCATAGCCAAACAACTGAATTGATTAATCATTGAACGAAAACTTTTGGCCTGCACGTCATTTCTCAATGCGAGGCCGAGATAAGATAATAAAAACTAAGCACACAACACTGCCCAATATCTTAATGGGTTCAAACATTTTGTCCATTCCCAACATTTACCTATGCAAAGTCATATACTATAAAGTATTACAAATCAAAATACAAAAGTATTATTTGGTACTTAAATTTATGTTAATAAGAAATATCAAATTATAATCACACTTAATATTAATATAAATCTTTAAATATCAAATAATTTAGAGTTTATTTTTCAATTTTCATAGAAAAGTATATAATTTTTAAAAAACTCTGAAATTGTTAAACAATTCTTATCTTTAATAGTTTTTTTTTCTTCTTTTTTTTGTATACAGTTGCTTTTCAACAAGTTCTTTTTGTTGTATTGTATAGTTGTTTTTTCTTCGAGAATTTTTACACGTTAATTTGTACAAACAATATATAATATAACAGCTAACAAAACTTAGCGATGATATAGCTTCTTTTCTATAGAGGGGGATAATAGTGAGCCCGACGTACACGAGTAACAGAGACCTCTCTCGGCCAAGGCAGCGATATATAATTGATTTTCTATATCTGGACTGGGCGGCTTACTCTGCGGGTAGAGAGATAATCATTATTTATAATCGTGTGGCTGTGGGGAAATTTGAATAGAATTTACCGCCCATTTCGAATTCAATCATTTCAAGATCGTCGTCATCGTCATCGTCACCATCCTCTAGATCAGTATCGTTGTCATCATCATCGCTGGAGGAATCAATATCAATAAAATTGCGATTGCGATGGCTGCGTAGCGGGAAACCGAGGAAAGTTGGACCTAATGGAAAAGCTGATGTGAGTAGAGCACAAACTTGATTATGGAAATTCCTATTGCCAGACCACTCACCATTTTCAGAGCCCGTATCGGAGCCCGTCTCGGAGCCCTCCTCATTAGATTCGGGCACCTCCTCATCATCTTCCTGCAAGCATAGACAGAATATTAAATTCAATATCATCCATCTGCATCTGCATCCGCATGAGCGTTCTAAGCTCGATAGCCGCACCGACACCGGCACCGGCAACGGCACCGGTACCGCCCAGTGTACGTGCTCGCCGTCGCACACCAACAATTGAGCTGTTGGGTGCATGCTGGCGAGCCAGATTTGAATTGGCATGTGACGATTGCCTAAGCCGGCTTGGACGACGGGCGCGTGCCTCGTCGTCAGCCCCGCCAGCACCAATGCCGCCATTCGCATTCGCATTTGCATTTGCATCTGCGTCTGCGAGTGCATCAGCATTGAGCAACGCCATGTTTGGCTCTGGCGTATGTGGGCGTGCCGCTTCTTCGACGATGCGAATTAGCGCAGATTCACCGCCTGGCGCATTGGCGGGCGGTGGCGGCTCCTCTAATGCGGACGTGCCGCCGCCGCCTCTGACGATGCCCTCATCGATGGCCAGATCCTTAACCGCACGCACCTCTTCCGAACGCTCGCTCTTTTTAACACCAACGGCATAGATCTTCACGTAGGTCTCCTGCTTCGAATCATAGCCGCTGTGATCCTCCACAACAGCAATAAGGCTGCCGTTCGCACTGACGCTCAGATCGTTGATATTACGCTTCACGTCGATGGTTGCAATGCTCGAATAGTCGTAAGCATCCAAAACATTAAAGCTCGTATCGTAGGTAGTTGTCTCCATGTCATGATCCCGATCGGCACCCAAGCTGGCGCCATAAATCACATGCATGGGCGAAAATGTGCAGTTACGCTGATCCAGCACCGGCACAGTCTGGAGCAGATGAAACGTGCGCAGATCCCACACCTCCGTATTTGCAATAATCTATAAGGATATCGAGAACATTCAATCTGGATCGGTACATGGTAATATGTAACAGAAGCTTACCTCTAGGCAATTCGGATGAAATACGCCCGAGATGCATTGATTGAACTTGTCAAACTTATGAATCTCCTTGCCGGAGCGAACATCCCAGAGCACGCCATCTGCAAGAGTTACACTTGAAAATGATTTCTTTGACTCCTCACATTGTCGAACTCACCTGAGAGCAGCAGCTCGTCAGTGCGGCACAGCGTCGCTCTATTTTTGGTGTATTGATTGGGTATGGTGGGTGTAAATGTGGACACCTTGGAGCCCGTGTTGATGTCATACAGAACGGCGCACTGCAATTTACAATCATATATTATTAGAGATATTCCACTAAGCTGAAGTAATACCACGTACATCTGTGTGGGTTCCCAGTAAACGATCCTGTGTGGTCTGACTGAACTCACAGTATCCGACCTCGGGCAGACGCAGCTTGGACCGGAACTCGTTGTCCGTAATGGACCACAAAATGGTGGTGCGCAAACGCCACAGGCTGGTGGTTAGAACGAGATCACCGGCACGATTCGCCTGTATAGCATCCACGCCGTATGTGTGGCATATGGAGGAGAACTGTTCGACGCCATCGTTCATATTGAACACCTTGCTCTCGCCCTGATGTGTGCCAACGATTAGGTAATTGCCCACCACATCACAACACGTGAACTCCAGATCATCATAGTCCGCAGACCGCATTGTACGCCAGGGCGCAAAATGTGTGTGGACATGTCGGCGATCGTAGCGTGCCGTATTGAAGCCTGCTTGGGTGCGGAAAAACCGGGAGGTCAAATTATAGTTGGAGCTGACCTGACGGCTGGGCCGTGGATCTGGGCACTTGTGCGGCTCATATAGGTCGAACTGTGGGCAGGTGGTGACCGGGTTGTTGCACAGCGAGTGCTGATTCGTCAGATACTCTGTCACAATGCTATTGAGTGTCACGCGCTTCGGATGCAGAGCCGGAGAGACAGTCAACTCATCCGGCAGTCCCACAGCGCTTGCCTCCGGATTGACCAAGCTGATTTGTTTCTGAAGCGAACGTGTTACCGAGGATGTGGCACGCTCCGTCTTGCGCAGTTTAATGGGTGTTTGCGCGCTCAGATGACTGAATCCAGGAACGCCCACTGCATTAGATCCATTGGCCATACCCGACGTGCCGGCGCCATTGCTGCAATGCGGCGACGCATCCTCTGACAGACTGCGACTCTGGTCGCCACTGGACATGATAGCCGCAGAGACATCGGCCATTCGGCTTCGCAGGCGACTGCGCGACATTGAGCTGATGCCAGATAAACCCTTGAAGTCGAAGGGTGACTGATGAAAGCTGCGCGTCGTCGTCGTTTGCAAGGGCAGACCCACCTCGCGCTGCAGCATCTGAGCAGTTTGTGTGAGGCCCTTGCTCTCCAGGTGCTCAAAAATGAGCTGGTAGAGCTGCTGTTCGTTGTATTGAATGCGGGTCTGGGCAATCACATTCGCCTTGTGCATGTTGGTGAGCGACGGATCGAGCGGTGTCAGTGCCTTCGTTTTTGTCTTGCCGGAGATGCGCTCGAGCAGCTCCAATGCGTACTTCTGGAAGATGACATGTTCGGCTCGCTTCTCCTGCAGTATGGGATCACGCATGAGAGCCTGCAGTTGCCCGCTGGCAAACAGTGGCAGTTTGCTAATGATTTGCCGTACACGATCAGAGCGGGCCAGCCCGGCTAGAGCGCGACATGCCATGCCGCGTATGCAGTCGGCATCGGTGATGGGTCCTTTGGTTTGCATCAGTGAGAGGAGCACCACAATGCCATTGTTTGAGCACACCGACTCCCACACCTTCTCGATCAGCTCTTCGGCATATTTCTGATTGGCTTTGTTCTTACGCGACGAGTTGCCAAACTTCAGGAGGCTGCTGCTGCTGCTGTCTTTTCGTATGATAGGTGAGCATACGCAATGGCAGAGCACGGCCAGAGCTGATTTCAGCACCTCAGCGTCGGCTGTGATCTCGCCGGCCGCTGCGCCCAGCACTGAACAGAAACCAGACGTTGTCGTCTTGTCCGGCATTTGTATTCGCTCACAGAGCACCAGATATACTCGCGGTATCACACAGCACACGCTAAGCACATCCAGGGCCGAGCGCACCGTCTCCGAGCGTCCATTGTTTACCCAATCGTAGCTGAAGGCAATAATGCGCAGGAGCATCGTAATGCCGCCCAGCTTCATTAGCTGATCCACGGGCTCCCAATGAGCGCGCACCGAGGTGTGCTCCTGCAGCGTACGTATCTGCTCGTGCAACTGGTCGAATGTCAGCTTGGCGGCCATCGTTGGCTGTTGGCTAAAGTAGTGCGATGATGAGGCCGATGAGCTCGCATAGTGCTGACACAGAAAGTTGTTGTACTTGTAGAAGAAATGCGCTTCCATGTAGCGCTTCAATGCGATGCACACGTGTCGCACCATCTGACGCGAGGCGCACTCGACATCCTCATTGATTTCAGAGCCATTATCGCTGTCGTTATGACTGGGATCGAGAATCTTAAGTACCGATATCTGTAGCATGAGTAATGGAAAATTTGTGAAATAAACAATATTGTTTATTCATTTCTAGCGTTTACTTACAACATTATAGAGCTTGCGTAGGCCATCTTGTGCGTCGAACTCATCGAGTATCGCCTTAAATTGGAAACTCAAGCTGAAGAACATGGTGGCATGACACTTGGAGGAATCATGACAGCGGCCCAGTATCCACAGCGCATATCGCACTAGATTCGATATTAACGGACGCGGCATGTTGCAAATCCTTTCCATAGCATCCTCACAGTATGCCAAATAGTAAATGGCAATGGAGACGCCCGTGGTGGCCAAACTGGGTCGTGGCACATTCAATAGCAGCTGGAAATATTCCAATGATAGATTAAATATCTGTAACTCTAGTCTTACACAGGGCGATGAAGCTTACCTCCAGGCCGCCGCGCGATATGAACTCCAGTGCAAATTTTTTGTGGCAGAGCAACGAGGCCAGATATTTGAGCACTTCGTAGGCGAGGCAGGTGTCTCGTCTGTCAAGCTCCTCTAGATGTCCAAAGATCAGCGTCATCACATTGTTGCCAAAAGCCATGGCCAAGAACTCTTGGTATTCGCCCAAGCTGGTCAGGAAGCGCATGATGAGCATTTGGCTGGTGTCTGCCGTGGGCGGATGCAGTGGTATATACATGCGCTTGTAATAGCGCGACATGGAGAACGCATCGCGACTGTTCTCAAACAAAATGGACATGTTGGAGGCACTGCCGCTGGCGCCGTTATGCTGCGGCGACTGAGGGGCCGACGCAGCGCCACCGCATGCCATCCAGCTGAGCATGCCCGGCGACATATTGCTGTCCGTGGAGTTGTTGAGCGAAGAGCTCGGTTCTGTTGTGCTGCTCTTGCTCATTCGACTGCATGCCAGTAACAGATGCAGCCGGTTTATCATTTTTGGCACCAGGCGCATGTTCTGCTCCCGACAGGTAATCGCTATATCGCTTACTTCCATAGCAGCGGCCAGTAGGCCTGTGGCATAGCTCTGCAGCGGCTCAATGCTGTCCTCTGCCCAATTGTAAAGCCGATTAATTATGCCATCTTCCTCGGCGGTCTGGAATACGGCTGTCGTCTCAAGACCCGGCATCACGACCAATATGAGCCGACAGGCAATAATATTCAACTCCAGGGAGCTGCGACTTATGCTCTGCCGACTGAAGTAGTTGTCTCGCAGATAATCGTTAAGAAGCTGAAAGTGTTTTTAAGCGCTCGATTAATTCTTATACTTAAAATGGCATTACCATAGGTTTTCTTACTTTGCCCATAAACAGATCCTTGCGAAAGAGCAGCTTCAGCAACAGTCCATATTGGCAGCTGGGATCGGTGCGATACGGGTGCCTTAAGTCCAGAGGATCCGGATCCTTACGCATGTATGAGTCCTTTTCGCGTTCAAATATCTCGGCCAGACTAAAAGTAATTTTATTAAAATAAATATATTTTATGGTTATTAATTGGGTTACCTTCTTAGCGTCGGCACGGGGTCGTAGCCGGCTTGTGTTTGTTCTTGCTCCCACTTGTCAATGATTTGTGTGAGCTCTTTTTTCGTGGCCGTGCGCCTGTCCGCTGCTGGATCATCCTCAGCATTGCCGTTGCCACCTTCTTGGCCATCTTCGGAAGCTTCTTCGTCGCCGTCGCCGTCCCCCTCACCATCGCCGTCTCCATCTCCATCACCATCACCATCACCATCACCATCTCCATTACCATCTCCCTCACCATCACCATCTCCCTCACCATCACCATCACCATCAGCATCAGTTTCAGCATCAATTTCTGCTGCCTCATCAGGTGAATTTTCCATGCTGTTTGCATCAGCCTCGGTTTCCTCTTGACCAGCTTGGTCTAATGTATCATTCAAGCTGTCGTCGCTTTGATAAGCAGCTGCAAACACGATATTGTCGAGTGATGCATCATTTCGGGTCGGTGCATTGAGCATTTCGGCATCGTCTTCCTCCTGCGCTGCAGCATTTCCATTCCCATTCGCATTCCACATGTTTCGAGAGCTCCACGCGGCAAGCGTTGGACACTAGCTCGTTCTGCTGTGCTGGCCAATTTACCGATATGATTTGATTACGCACTTTCAACTCTAAACCAAATATTTGATTTTGTATATATTTATAATTGCTTCAATTGCGTTATTAATATGCAAATTCTGTGCGGCTAAACCACGCGCTTCTCTTTTTGGCAATGAAGAAGTGTGACCGCGCACCACAGAGAGGAGCGATAAACGAGTCGGTTGTACATGGTCAGCGAAAAGAATTTCATCTTGAAAAGGTTGACACCATGTCAAAGGTAAACGTATTTTTTAATATTTATTTAATTTAATAAATGAACCCATTACAAATTTCATGAATACAACGATACATTTGGAAGAAAATATCACAATGCAGATTTTTCTGCAATTGTTTGACATCTAATTTCACACAGTGCATCAACAAGGTGGCAGCACTGCCTAAAATTAATCGCCGGTTATCAATGTTATCGATGTGTCGAGTCATTGTTTTGTTTTGGTTCCTGATCAACTCGCCTAAAATTCGAGCATCATGAGTTTTCTGTTTATACTTAGTTGGATTTCATTAGCTATACAGATCACTTTCATAACATTATCGATAGGTATATAGGTTAACAGCAAACTATGCAATATATATTTAACTTATGCACTTTTACAGTGGCTGGGCTCTACTATTTGGCCGAACTGGCAGAGGAGTACACAACGCCAGCTCGACGTTGTATACTATTCATGATTAGTTTCACAATATTTGTATACCTTCTCCTGATATGCTTTGAGGACTTCTCATGGACCATGATGCTGTGTGGATTAGTAGCGCAAGGCTTCCATTTCAGTATAATGAATAATTTCCCCTTCATACAATTGCTTTCGGTGCCATTAATTGGCTCCGTGGCAATGCTGGTGATTAATCATGTGCTCGCATTTCAATATTTCACTAGCGTCTATGTACCCTTCACACAGGTGAGCCATGAAGACAACCAGAAATACATACAACCAGAAAATCATTGAATTTGTGTATTTCTGTTAGGTACTTGCCTACTTTACCATCTGCCTATGGATGGTTCCCTTTGCTCTGTTCGTCTCGCTCAGCGCCAACGACAATGTGCTGCCCACTACGGTCAGTGGAAATGATCGGCTGATGGGCAGCAGCAATCCGGATGTGGTCAGCAATTACTTTTCGCGCAATAAGAAAGTTGGATTGCTATCGTTCTTCAACTATATTAAGGAGACGTTGCTGCCGGGTCGCAGCAAGAAATCATTTTAGCTAGGATAACTAAAGACTTGATAATCAAATGTGTAAAAAATATCGGGCGTAATCCCTAGTTATTTATTTTGTATTCATGCGCTGTAACAGTTTAGTATTATTAATATGAATATTTTCAATTGATCGGATCAGAGAACTATTTGCTCTGGACCTTGAGGGTGCCATTGGCCATTCCAAAGTAGCATTTGTTTGCCATGTTGACGAATAGGCCCGTTTCCAGGACACCCGGTATCAAAGTTATTGCCGTATTCACCTCGTTCCAATCGTATTCCCGTTTTGCAACAAATCTCCAGTCCAACAGAAAATTTCCATTGTCGGTGACAATGGGACCAGCCTTCTTTAGGGCAATACGTAGCTGTGCCTCGCCTCCAAAGAGCTCCTCGATCTTATGCTTGACTGGCACATAGGCTAACGGCGCAACCTCAATGGGTATGCCCTTGCACCATTGCTCGCCCAGGCGGAGCGAGCGCTTAGTATAGTCTGCCACGATGACGACTGTCTTGGCGCACGAGGCAACTATCTTTTCCTGCATCAGGCAGCCGCCGCCACCTTTGATTAGCACCATGCTACTGTCCACTTCGTCGGCGCCATCAATATAAACATCGATTTTATAATTACGATCCAGATCGCCCAATGTGAGATTGTGATCGAGTATTAGTTGACGCGCTTGGAACGATGACGGCACGCAGATTAATTCTGACAGCGTACCCTCCTTCCAGACGCGCTCCGCAAGCCGCTGGACGACAAACACGATGGTTGAGCCGCTACCAATGCCCAAAACTTTTGTATCTTCGGTCACATATTGATCCACCGCTGTTTCGGCTGCGAGCCTCTTTGCTGCGTCAAGTTCAATTTTTTCGTCCATTTCGCTGCAGAATTTGCGTCTTGAAATAGTACTTTTCGGATGGATGGGAGATCGAATACAAAGTCCAATAAATTGTGGCAAATGCGGTTGCAACAAGTCTCGGCGCAGCAACAACGACTTCAACATGTGCTTCAGCTTTAATGTGCCTTGGCTTCGAATTCACGAATCGAGTTTCAACTTAAATGACACGAGCTGAAATTGGGTTTCATTTGTTAGTATAGGGGTGCTTTGTGTCTTCAAAATATTTTACAATAATTGAAAAATAGCTCAACACAATGGATATATGACATATATTTCCCGGCGCATATAATATCTGTTTGATAGCTAGGAAAATTGTCGCAATTTAATAGGCTACTTCAATTGTAGTTTGCTCACGTTTTTAATAATTGTGTCTAGAGGTAAAAGTATAATTTATAATCAAATAAAGATGTATTACATATGGATGTATGTATGTATATGTATTATCTCTTATTGTTTACAATTCACAGTGTTATCTACTTTCAGCCAATGTTATGTGACCATAGCCGGAATGCTGTAAAGCTTTATTCGATAGTATCGATAAATATTCAAATAAATCAGCCCTGTATTTAGGAAGGGCATTTTAAAGGTCGGAAGCTTATTTGCAATTGGCGGTAACAATTCAAAAATATAAAGTTCAATGGAAAAATAAAAAGAGACTCAAATTTTTATTGCTGAGTACAGATAAAATAAATAATATATAAAATAATATGTAAGGGTAAGTTATTTTTAGTATAGCTAAAACTGAGGATTATAAATGTTAAAATTAGATTATTTCTTATAATAGTATAGTACAAAATTTGAAAGAAACGCAAAGTTACTTTATTTTAAAATACCATTTCTTTTGATATACATATATTCGTAGAGGAAAAAGTGAAAAGCAACGCGGTTAGCAGACGGAAATGCGCCAAAAGTACGGAGCCCAGTTCTACAATTATAGTTCTGGATGCAATCGAGACAATGCAGCGAAAACCATTTGGACAGCAACAGCAGCAGTAGCAACAGCAACAACAGCAGCAGTAGCAGCAGCAACAACAACAGCAACAGCAACAACGGCGAGAAGAAAAACAAACAGAACGAAAATGCAGGAGGAACCACAATACAAAAGTCGTTTAAAGTTAAACGCTATCCTTGATAATGATAAGAAATGGTTGCAAAACCATTAAAAGCATTCCCTCTTGGCTTAGATGAGTGCGAAAAAGGACGTGCCAGTGCTGACCAAAGAAATAAAATGAGGGGAATTCCCCTTGAAAGGCCGACCACAGCCGGCTGCAGCTGTTGGAATATTACGTCTTAGACGTAACTGCTTGGATTATTTCAGTGCCAGTATTTGAGGAAATTTAATACTTTTAGTGCACAAAGCGAAAACTGTTGAATGGAATTGCGATAAAGCTGAAAAGCAAACTACAATCACAAAGGTGATTGCAGATTTTCCCTTGCAAAATGGAACACAAACTGAATGCCAAGCCAACAGCAACAAGACTACCAAACCCAAATACAAGTACACGAAATAAAGAAGCACAATTCGTTAGAGGTAAGGAAATGCCAAAAAGATTTGTGTTAATGGATTTCACTATTAAAGAAATGAATTTCGAATGCAACGCAGCATGAAAAAAAAAAAAAAAAACAAATTCTTCATTTTGCATGATTGCACAACGAATATGAATCTACGATGTGCCCAACCTGAGGTTTGTTAGTACAAATTAATGTGTCAACTTTTGGATTGAATCGCATTTGCTTATTGACTATGTTTTTAAAAATAAGGTCTAATTTAGTCAGTAATAAGAACGGTATATATAGACGGCCTGGTTAGTAGATAGAATAAGTACTTACAGAAAACCGAAAATATATTTGATAAAATAAACTAAAATTTAATTCTTAAATTTGTAAAATTATCACATTAAATTAATAATACATAAAAAAATTAAAATTCAACTTAACTAACTACATATGCCTGTTGCTTTGATTAGTTAGATAAATTAGGGAATTGAAATTAAATTTCATCCTAAAGCGACGCAATAGAAATATTAGAATTAAATAGAAAGAAATACAATTTGGCATAACTCAATTCACTTTATTTTAATTAATTAAATAATTTTCATTAAGTAAATTAATAGCATGATTTGCGATTCGTAAAACAGCGTTTAATATTCACGTTGTTAGGCTAACACTAATGTTAACAATAAACTGTAAACTGAATTGCATCTCAATTATATGTACATATGTATGTACTTACATATGTATGTACTTACGGCCTGTCCCAGTTGACAGCGCTGACAAATCGTGTGCCAACGTGTGCCAATGCTACTTTTTTGGCTAGGGTATAACGAATGCCAATACAAACATCAATTACGTGAAACAAAAGTCCTGCACACACACATATGCACACACACACACACACGCACACACAGAGCCAGATGTGGGCAGCATAAAAATTGTTAATTAAAGGAATGCATTGTTTAATGTGCCCCTCGTGGGCCACAGTCCAACACCTGGCTGCATCCCCGCGTGGGCCCATCACCTGATGCTCGACGCCCGCTCAATTACACGCACAAACTTTGCACAAAAAAAAAAAAAAAAAAAAAAAAAAAACAGAAAAAAGAACTTGAAAAGGGCAGCAATTGCAAATGGAGCTGCGCGACCCAGTTGTGTTGCCATCCGATGGCGTTTTCCATTATAGCGCCTAAATAGCGCAGAGGAATGGAATAAAAGGGCAGAAAAAAACTAGGATTGCAGGCGCGGCTCGTTTCTCCCCTATTGCACTTTTTTCCCTTTTCCATTTTTTGTGCTCCATCGAATCAGAATTATGATGGCATCTCCACGGTCCTGCTGATGACGACAATGTCAGCTTGAGGCCCCCGCCCCGGGACAGGCCTTGGCACGGCACGGCACGGCTCTGCACTGCACTGAACGACTTTTCCGATGGGAACAATTTATAATTTGATTAGCACATCGCTGACTGCACACGGAAACAGAGCAGAGGCAGCCAAAGGGACGCAAAGTTCAGCGGAAGTGCATCTGAGTGCATTGAGGCTGCCGAATAGGCATCGTCCACTCACTCTAAGTCTTATCTCTCGAGCTACCTATTGAGTATGCAAAAATCGGGATGGCGGCGCGGGACGGGCGGGCCACGGCGAATCACACTCCGTTAACCGCCTGCCAGCCAAGACAATGACAAATGATGATGAAGTGACACTACGCCCCACTGCGGTCCCACTAAAAGGTTTTTGGAGAAAGGACGCTCGCCCCAAAGCTTATCTTTAGCTTTCAATTAATATTACAAGTGGCTTTTTTATTGCAGCCCAACCGCAGCACAACAACAATCTAGCCATAATAAACAGTTTTCAGTTAGTGTCTGTGTGTGCTTGTGTGCTTGTGTGTGTGGGTGGATCAACACAAACAAAGCGAATTTGCAAGCTGCACGATGACAGAAAAAAAGAAGCAAAGGAGGCATAACAAAAGCCAACACAGATACAAAAAGACAAGGCTCTGCTCTGCTCAGCTCTGCTCAGCTCTTAAAGGATTCGCCGCACAAGCAACGCCCCCATGGAAATTTTCCCGTTCATTCATTAAACAATAAACAGCAAATTCTGCAAGGGGCGTGGCGTCCTCCAAATAGATTAATGGCCGCAAAACAAAAAACCTTGATGCAAATCAATTTATTATGCGGCCTGCAGAGCGCGTTGACCGCCGCATAGAATTTATATTCCAACAATAAGAGATACAGAACTTAATACTCAAATAAAACATTTATTTCGGCTCATTTGACGGACAGCACACCTCAAGACCTCACGTTCTATGGCCAACTGTTGCCCCGAAAGGTGCTGCCCGCCGCTTGGTTAGCCCGGAATTTGGTTAATGTACCGAACTGCAACGGGGACCATGCCCAGCGGCGTGGATCTGAAGCGATTCTTGTTGACCACTTGCGTCGTCCTCAGCTGATTCATCTCCAGTCTCACCAGCTCCATATCCCGCTCGTACAGCTGCCGCATGCGATTCTGTCGGACTATAATGTTGTAGTCATGCGCCGCCTCCACCTCAGCCCTGATGCGGCTCAGGCTGAGATTGAGCGCAGAGTTCCTGCAGCCGTTGTTGCCCAGGCAGTCGCGCCGGTTCATCAGAGAGTTTCTGCGTGGAGCAACTGTTCAACTGAGACGACTGCCAAGTGTATTCAAATGCAAATACTTACAAAATTTGTGCCATTTTGAAACTATATCAAAAGTACTACGAGGAATCGAATATGATCTATATGTAGAAAAACAAAATAACACACAATAAAGGCAGTTGTAAAAAATGTAGTCAGAGGCAACCTTATTTACACAGAGTACTTCTCTCCTGAAACATAGGCAATCAGTTTAAGTGCTTGCTTGTCGAGTTTAACAGAGAGTGTCATACTCTGACACCAAGACAATTTTGAGAGTTGAATTCTTTTCAAGTATAACTTTTTGTTGTGTCAAGTTCAATCCAGATATATTTCCTGTTAATCTGGAGGTCAAGTTTAGCAGCTGGCTGTTAGGCTGCATTTCTAAAAATTCCCTTTACTTACAAATCAATCTCCTTGACTATTTTTGATGATATTTTAATTATATATGATTACTACTTTATGTTGTTTAATTCGCAAAATTTTGTTGTTGCTGTTAAGGTACATGTTAAGTCTAGCAGCTGGTTGTTAAGCAGAATATATATTCATTAAGAAATCCATTTAAAACTCTCTAGGTCAATTAAAGTTGCCTATTCTATAAGTTAAGCCAAGCTCAGTTTGGTTTAAGTGCCAGTAAAATTTAGCAGCCGGCTGTCAGACAAAATCTTTGAAATTAACTAAAGTCTCCTTTTAGTGAGAAATACGTTATAGTGAAGTGCTTGTCAAGCAAGTCTGGTAGGTGGTGTCACGTTCAATTATCATGGCGTTAATTAACAAAATGAAATATCCCATTGATTTGGCACGTGAATAACCACATGAGTGCTGCTGCCAGGAGGAAGGAAGCCTTTGAATATGAAGTAGCTTACGCACTTAGCCGCGTGTGGGTGTCAGCTCATTGAAGGTCGTTTAGCAGCTGCAAATGTGGCAGCAGCTAAATGAACCACAAACAAACAGACCGACACACCGACAGACGGACAGATAGACGGACAAACTTGTTGGCCTATGTCCGGCTACAAGCGCTCCTCCATTTAAATCAAATGTCAGCGCAGTGCTCTGCTGC